AGGAATTATAAATCACGTCAGTTTATGAAAACATGTCCCATCCTGACATACAGTGTATGTCTTAGACCAGCCTAGCAATAAAATAAGGTTTGGGGTTTATGACATTGCATTCTGAGAGTTATCAAAGCAAGACAGGATGCGATTTCCTCACACGGAAGACAATGGACAACTAGCACATGTTCTTCAGAACAAGACATTAATCAGCCAGAAATGGTGTTAACAGAAGTCAAGATTGCTGTGTTTTAAACATGAACCAAGAGATTACTATTCAGAATGATTACTGGGTGGTGAGAATCAGTTTACAACTGAATTCTCAATATGAATCTGATGCCATTCAATGTAGATATTGGGTTTGTGGATAAAGGTGAAAGTTCAAATGAACCAGAAAATATTCAAAGTCACAGTACACACTGCTTGGAATCATTTTAAGGGGAATAAAAGAGTATTTTCAGAATCAAGCTGTCACAAGAAAAAAAGCTACAGAAAAGTGAAAATCAAGATGAAGCAGTAATTATGTGTTATCTGCCTTTTTGCATTTTCTTGCCCCTCCTTCTGGGCCACACCTGTGTTAACAGAACTCAATGCGCATTCCTATATTTTAACAAGAATATTCACCAGAATTAAAAGCCTTAACAAGTTTTACCTCCTGAGGTTTATGAGCAGGTGTATGACTTGGACAGTTCTGGATGAACAGGATGACAGGACGGGAACAGTGAAGGAAGAGAAGGGGAAGTAAAGAACAGAAGGATGAGAAAACAAAAAATTCCAACACATGAAGCTCCAGTTATTGTAAGATTCAAGTTTTGGGGCCACCTACAGATGCCTTTGCAATTCAAAGGTTTACAGAACATCCATCAAAAACACTCTCCTCCTATTATTAATAACTAACTGAGCTTAGAAAGCAAAAGCAAGATCACCAGTGCCATTACATGCTTAAGGAGGTTTCTTTGGCCAGACCCAGCTCTCCCAGTTCCATACGCACACGTACCTGTGTCCATCTGCCACGGAGACTTAAACTCTAGTGACATACATACACATGAGCACACAAACACTATTATTTCATTATAACAGAGAAAAGGACAATATTGATATATTTTGTTAGCATTCTTGGAATCCATGATGTAGCTAAAAGCACAATAATGTTAATTTTACATTGGAAAAGCTCAGTCTAATTACAAGAGTCCTTCTTTTAGGATACTGTCTCTACATTAGTTTTACTTACTGCTTTTAATTTGGCATGCTTTAAACCCTTAATTAATGTATTTAAAGACTTTGCTATAGAACCGAGCAATTAAGAGGAAGAAATCAAAAGCAAAAGGACAATGTTCACTGATCACCATCTCCTCCCAACTGCAGGGACACATACTTTTATCTTTGAGTTTGCTTTTTTACTTTTCTTCCTAAAAACCCACCTCTTTTCTATGACAACACCAGCAAGTGCTATTGACTCTCCCTCTCAAATTCTGCAACTTTCTCCCCGCCCTGCATTCTTTCCTCTACATTCTATGTGTGATCCCTTTTGGGAAAAAATCTGTATCACAGCCCTTATGCAACTCTCTCTATTTCACGTTATAATCTCTTGCCAGGTAAGCCAGAAGCACAGCAAATCTGCTGCTTTCAACACCTGAAATTCAGACCACTTTCAGCCAGACCAAGATTTAACTATATCATTGTCACTGCAGCACACTGATTTTATCTTAACAGAAATATATCGCTAGATCCCAACACTTTTGGTGCAGTAAAACTATATACAGTTTGATGGTCTTTATAAACAAAAATTGTGTCATGCAACAAGTGGGAGTGCTCATTCACAAAACAAGGAGAAAAACACAAATAAAGATTACAAAGATAAAGGTTATAAATACTTAGGGTTTTTAAAAAAAAATCCTTCATCTTAATGACAGAACTCTTGAATACATAAAAAAACCTCACTTCTTCCTTTTCATCTTACTTCCCATCCCAAATCCATGAAAATGCATTTTCAGCAGAAAAAGATGTCTTTTTCCTATTCTCTACACTCTAAGTTATCTTTCACCACCCAGCTCATCTCTCCTTTTCCCTGGGCACATACTCTCTCAAATTGCTGGAAATTATCCTGCAGGTGTTCTGTATCCTCTTGAACATTCACCCATTGCTTTCCCCAGAACTGCTCCTCCCTCCCGTTGCTGGGCTCTGCCGGCTCCTCCGGCTACTGCAGGAGAGAAACCTTTCTGCCAGGCTGCTCTGGGACACGTGAGGCTGAAAAGACAGATCCAGTGGCCAAAGACTTTATCAATTTCCAAAAATCAAAATGGAAAAGCAACAGGATTACAGTGATAAAGTCAACAAAAACACTGGAAACACTTGATGTTCTCAGTTAACCCAGAGAGACGAGGCTTCACAACAGTTATTGCACAAAGCACGGCGCTTGCCAGTTTGCCTAAGAAAAGTGGTTTAAGAGTTGATATTAGCTCAGTATAAATTTACTCCTGGTGTCAATTATAAGCCTCAGTTTGAAAGAATAAAAAGAGAAAATTATTTTCAATATTCTTGCCTCAGATTTGTTTGGGTTTCATTTGCTGAGTCCAAATAAATAAATATTTTTGCTTACAGAAATAAAACAGGAGGAGATTGAGAAAAATGATATGAAAAATTAAGACTGACAAAATGAAAAATTAAGAAACAGATCTTCTTTAAAGAAACACCAAAACTTTTTTAAAGAAAACAGCAGATAAACTAGTTGTTTGAGAAAGGTTAACAAAACATCATATTTTATTAAGATTGCTAAATTTGGATTTTAATCCGAAATTTCAAACCTATATCTTTTCAGTGGCATTGGTTCTGGTTTTCTGAAAAATCACAACTTTTTCTTTGTCCCTCCTCTGCTCCATGGAGCATTGGGTGACACTCAGATGACCCAAGGTGAAGTTCAAAGGGACACTTTTTCCTATTTATCAAGGGAAGGCAGCCATGCCATCTGTTCCGCTTTGCCCTTCTGCTCACAACTGAGACATTCCTGGTTTGGTGCACCTTCCTTGTTTGAACCCATGATTTTTCAGCAATGACAGTTTCCCAAATGGTTTAATCCATGTCAGAAGTATTTAGGGAAAATATGACTAAAACCCACCACCTGATGACACTCCCATTTTGAGAGAACTGTGATGTGGTTCTCACTGCAAAGCACCATGTGTTCAGCATTACAAAGTCAAAGCAGGTGCAGGAATGGTTTATGGACAGAAGTCTAAAGGTTAAGAGGAAAAACCCACAGTTATCCTATTTTATGTTCTCCCGTTCTACTACAAAGAGGCTGAAAACAGTCAAATGTTTATCAAAACTCTTTGGTACAGCACTATTTTTCTGTTAATACATTTACATTCTATAAATGAAAGGGCTTTATTCTTAATTGAATAAACAAAATAAGGTGAACAAACAAAATAAGATGAAAATACATTGAAGTTTTCTGCTAAATACCACACACATGGCAATTGTCAAACAGTCTAACCTTTCCAGTTCAAACTAGCCCACAGTCCAGTAACATTAGCAAGAAGTACTGGATTTTTACTGTGTGGTTTAGAGGATTTTTCCACTGAACTAGGGACGTATTAGCTGAGCATTTTATGTAGCTACTTGGCATGCATTCCTGTTTATTTCATTTGAAAATATTATTTAGATGACACTATTGTGCTTTCAATTTCTTTATTATTTTGTCTATTTTCACAACTTGTGAAACCTTGCCTTGCCCCATCCCAAGGCAGTGGTGGTTTGGTTATTGTCAGTACAAAAGCACAGTCAATATTAGACCAGGGCAGAGAAAGTGAAAGGCACCCACATCGTGCAACTGCCGTATCAGGCTGCTCCTTCAAGCACCGACTCAGACTGTGAGCTATCAAGATAAAGCAGGTTTTCACATCCATCACTTTATTAACAAGAGAAGTATCCACAAGCCAAATTCACCCTCCCCTGTATCAGTTAAAGATGTCTTCCGAAGGCTCCCCACAAGTAGCTCTAGGACAGCTCTAATTCCCAAGCATCCTTACAAGGTACCACGTAAAAGGAGGGACCATTTTGTGGTTTGCAGATGTCACCCCTTCCTTTCCAACTCACGGGTCCAAGTCCTTGTGGATCACTAGGGAACTGCACACATGCCTCGATTTTCCAAGAGCATATGGCCCACAACAGAAATTTGAAGGGCAAAGAGAGAAGAGTGTTTGGGTTTGGATTTTTTAAAATCATTTTCCTAATACACGTTGGATTTCCTTTCCTTAAGTCTGGTCTACCAGACCTCTGGTTCCCTGACTCTCCAAAAAAACCCATGTGACGCTCATGTGATTTCAGAAGAATCTGAAATATCTACGGGCTAAACATGGTATATTTGAGTTTTATCTTATGACTGGTGTTTTAAATAAACTGAGTAGTTTATGACAAATATATCATAGGCACACAACTTCCCTAAACTATGGAAAAGGTAAAAAAGACAACAAACAGAACTTTCCTTTGTACATATTCAAAACAAAATACCGTGAGAGAATTAGATAGGCAAGCTTTGACAGTAATCTCACCAATTAACAATGTGCAAAAGAAATAATACAAACTCCCACATGAATAAAAGAGGACTGGAGCTAGATGAGGCAAAGATAGAAATAATGTAGGTCCTAATGGAAATAAGGTCTAAACCTGAAGATTTTTAAAGGTATATAAAAAAAAAAAGTAAAAATCCTCACTAAATCAACAGTTCCATTGCTTCTGTTAAAAGGTAGTTTGGAAAATTCCTAGAATTCAAACTCTTCTACATTAAAAATTCCTTCAAAGGAACAGTCAACGTGTTCAGAAAGTCTTTTTTATGCTCCAAGTAACTCGGAAACATGCTATGTTTTTAATGAAAAGCCCTGTAATTTCAGCAAAAATTCTCTTACATGAGATTTTCCGCTATAACAAACTGCTTTGTGAATACCCAAATTCCAAAGAAAATGCCCCCATTTACTAATGTGGGTGTAATGTTCTTTTTCTAAAAAGACTCTTACCTCTTTTTCATGCATTCGAAATAGTGCCTGTTCATCACGAAAAGTGCTACTTTTTCCAAGACCAATTTTGGGTGTCATCTATTGAATGAGAAAAAGTTCAAAACAACTTGTTAAGTTAAAAGCAGTAACTCCAAGTAAAATCAATCCTAACCAGAAATGAAAAATATTAAGCATGTTTGTTTGCCCTTATAAAATATCAAGGGAATACTAATACCTACCAAAGACACTGGCATTGGTTTTTCCCGCAAATATCTTGGATTTTCTAACTGAAAAACAAGTTAGAGAAAAAGTAATCACGTCAGCATTATTATTTCTTACAGACTGTAAGAGATATCTCCAATCATTCAGCCAGGTTTGCAGTGACCACTTTGGGTGGTAACCTCTATCAGCGAGGGTACACTTAACCCAGTTACTGTAAAGCTGGAAAGACCAGCAACAGAACAGACTGCAGGATGCCTTCGGACACACACCAGTTCAACCACTGCTTTCCACTAGAAAATCTGATGATCCATCTGTAAATCACCAAAACAATTCCATCTCCAGATACATGGCTGTAACCCAGACACAACAAATTAGAATTATGCACAGGAAAGCTTTCTCCTTTACAACATTTCAAGGATCCTTAAGAAAAACACTCAGCAGAACATAGAGGCCCAATAACACACTGCCAGCTTTTACAAGCTACAGAAATTATTTTTTCCCAAACTCTTGTGGTCGTGTAAATTCCATCAATGCATGTTTTAAAGGAATTTAGGCAGCTAAATACATAGCTTATACAGAAGATTTCCAACTATATTGGATAAACTTTCATTAAAATCAGTGTAAAGCTAGAATAAATTCAGAGATTACAATGATTTTAATCTAGTGGTTTCAAAAACTACAGTTGAGTGCATTGAAACTATACCCACAGCTGTAACTCATAGAGACAAAACATAAGGAAATAATTCATTAACAGCAACGTATAATTAAAGCAGCTCTTTCAATCACTATTTTTAAGAACTGAATACAAAACACTGTTCACAACCCACTTCCTCCATCAGACAGCTATATCTTTTCCATTTTCTCAGACGATGAGGCTCAAACATCACATCACAGAGAATGCTCAACACCCAAGAACAGCCTTCAAGGGTATAATCTTGTAAAACGTGGCAGCAAGATTTAGAAGACGCATGTGATTGCAATATACATCTTACAACATTTAGACTTCCCCTCCCCCATAAAAAAATTTAAAAAAATTAAATTGATCTATGAGGCACGGCAAATATATCAAATGCTTGTACTTTCTCCAGTATTATTATATACATTTTTCTGTCAAATTTATCAGTGAAGAAGCTTAATCCCTCTGAAATTTCAATTTGATACAGTATTATGCATTTCCTGTCCTAAAAGGTTAGGCAGGTTTTCTATATGCTGTTGAAGGGCTGTCCTATTTCACCCAGAAATAGCTGTAGATACTAGCAGGTTTAACACATATATTCAATTCCAACAAACAGTACTATCTAATAGTTTAAAACCATAGCTGAAAGCATATAAAAATCAGTAACTTAACAAATAACTTATTTCTCTTTGTTGTCAATAAGTTTACTAAAACAGAAATGTTAAACTTTCTTTCATGTAAAGCATCCTGCGTTGGTTTTATTTGAGGATTTTTTGGATGTCTTTTTCTTTTTTAAATATGCCACGGTGATTGGCATGCAAAAACCATGGGTAGATAGCAGTGAATAAAGGAATCACCTACAACAAAATAAATACATAATGTTGGACCCAGAGGAGAAGATTGGTGAAGAGTGTAGAAATTCTGAACCAGGAAAATTTAGGAGGATTTTCTTTGTCCTACACATTCGTACTTGTAGTAGCATTTTCTACCTAAAATTTTCTAATTTTAGTAGTATTATACTCTTCTTTCTAGCTCATTCCACCTGCCTTCCCATCCCTAGCATACACCTCCTCATGGCCTGCACAGAGCCCCGGGACTGACGGTGACCGGCCAAGAGCCCCCTGATCCTGCTCCCCCGAAATCAGGAATCATCCCCTTCCACAGCACCTGGGGGAAACCCTGAGGACGCTGAGCCTGCACAACCAAATTTCAAAGCCTTAATTATTTTCCCAAAGCACACTCTCTCATGCAAAATGAATACAATCACCCTTTACTTTTGCTTTTTTAAAGCTTAAAATTATTCTAAATATTTACAATTAATTCAAATACTTTATCTAACCATGAAATCAAGCTGTTTACAGTCTTCATTTCAAAACTGATCTAAAAAGCTAAGGTATATCGTACTTGTTTATGAGAAAGAACGAAAATGTGTCTCTAATACTTTGTATGGCCTAAGTCTTGCATTTTTTGATTCTGTAACAGCAGCCATATGTGCTTTGAAGTTAAATGTTCCCACTTTGTTACTTGTTGTGGATTATATCCACTTAAACTGATCTGTAAACATTTAATGTCTCAACATTCATTCTTTTCATGCTGGTCTTCTGCAAAACTTCTTGTTCTCAAAATTATACCACATTAAAGAGGGAATATCACAATAAAGAATGCCCAAAAAAGAAAAAAGCTTGGATTTATGAGAAACATGCAAATTTAAAAATAATAAGCAAAAGGTCAAAGACAAACCAAAATACATATGTATGAAACTGAAGGACTGCCATGAGAAGAACAGTAAATCACATGCTTTTTTAAGAGTATAAACCAAATAAATGTCATCATGAAAGACATCTTTATTTGAACTAGAAATGAACTCTAATTTGTAAATACCACTTCTTAACAAAAATGGCATTTTGAATTTTTTTTGTAGAAAAGATTTTTAATTCTCCTGTTCTATGAGGCAGCCAAAGAGACAACAAACCAGATTTCAATTTGTGAGGACTGGCACAGTCACCTTGTAGTGCTGGAGTCCTCCTAAAGCAGAGCTGGGAAGGCTCTGGGTGACCACATCCCCATCACTTATTCATAAGAATAGACTTAATTCTCTCTTCGGTTGAAAAATGTATGGCAGATATCTGCATAAAGATACTGATTCCAGAGCTGAGTTTGAGGTAAATTAGCCATCATTTTTACCTTTAGCATTATCAATTTCTGTATAAAGTGATCAAAACTAAACATTTCTGAAGCGTCCAGTTGCAAAGCTACCAATGCAAGCGAGGAGTGAGGCACTGCAGAAGTGAACCCTGCTGAAATGGTTTCTCCCAAAGCAAGGAGAGTGCAGAAGAAGCCCAGCTGTGAGCACCAAGTCCTTCCACAAGACTTGTCCTCAGGACAGTGACCATGTTTCCCCCCTCAGGCTGGGACCAGCCGCAGGCTCTGGATCTCTCACAGGCCAGAAACTTACACCAAACCTGCTGTTCTTTTGCCACAGTAAATACCACAGCAATGACAACGTTAGCGTTCTGCTTTCGTTCTACCCCTTCGAGTCATATTTTGGTTTTTTGGAAGATGTTCATCGAGGTATACTCATCTTCAGCAATGCAGAACTGCAGCTCATTACGGTTCAGCAGAGTCTGAAGGTATGCTCTATACATTGAGGCTCAGGAAAAAAACCACACATTTGGATCAACAGGCTTGTTATGCATTCCCCCTTAAGCTCCTTCAAAGACAAAATGTGATTGTTTTCAAAACAAAGATGGAAAAAACACACATGAAAGAGTTAAGAACACTTAAGATTTTGAAATGGTAAACAACCCAACTGAACCTTGCCCCAAGTTCTTACTTTAATCTAGGAAACGCAGCCAGCCAGCATGTTCCCTACAGAAATAACTGCTGAGTAGCTTCAGGAAATTTGAGTAAGGACATTCTTATCTAACATCATAATTTGTAGGGAAGTTCACTTTAATGCTGCTTCTGCAGTCTTAGTGGAAGGACATTAAAGCACATGAAGATTGTTTGTCAGCATGGAAGTGGAATTTATTTTTTGAAGTCACAACACCACTTGGAGTTCACTGTGGGAAAGTTTTTACTGTGTTGCTGCCCTCCAACACCACAACATATACAGTAGGTATGTTTATAGTAAGCAGACAGACTAAGAAACCAAACAAAAGATAATCAAATCGTTTTTACAGAAATGGTTGAGCTTAACTAGACTGGAAAGACACAGGCAGACGTGAGCCAAAACAGGCAGAGCATACACTGCTGCTGCAGCCACCCAGGAATTCTCCGTGCTTGCATCTCCTTTAACCCTCTGTCACAGAGAATTCCTCCAAGGGAGGAGGATGGCACACGAGCCATTGACTGGGGAATTTCTGTGGTCTGAGTCCTCTTAAACGTTTACTAGGCAATAACATTTGCCATGATAAATTCTTCTGAGCAGGACCCGAGTGTCCAGGTTCTTTGTACTGAAGATTCACATCATTTCTAATAAAAGCTAAAGAGTTAATTCTTGTCCTGGCTGAATTCCAATGATGAAAAGTTATGTTCTCCCTGATTAAAAACCCCTTTGCCATTTCCCCAGGGTACAATCTCTTTGTATGCTTTCTACCCAAAATGAAGTGCTGAATTTCCTGGGATGCTTAAAAGAGTTGCTTTATCACACCTAAAATTGGCTACAATTCAGCAACAAATAAAACTATCAGAAGCATCATGAAAAATACATATATAGGCAGGTCAGGTAAGAGTATGCAGGGTTTGATTCATTGTTGTTCGTAATTTAAATGTCCTATCCAAAAGTTGTGTTTGTCTATAAACTAAAAAGCATAAAAATACAAGAGGGGGAAAAAAAAATAAAGGAAAAAAAAATAAACTTGCTAAAAGGCAAGTTTAATTCTGTTATCCAGCAAGCTTCTGTTCCTGATACTAAATATTGTAAATATATGTAATTACTTTTTGAGACATAACTAAAGGGAAGGTGAGGATGCCCATTTACGAAGTGTACCGAATTTGAAGAATGACAAAGAAAGGTCAAGGTAACAACATGACCAGAGATCACCTGCATTTGTCTAAGCTCCTGGCTCTGAAACTTTTCGCTTCAAACGGCAATAAAACAGGATTTATTCTTTCCTACATTGCAAATGCAGCTTCAAGGCATGACTACTCCATAAAGGAGAATCCCTCCAACAGTTTAACCCCTCCAAGAGTCAGTAAGGGCCAAGAAACACACATTTTTTAGAATCTATTTTAAATTAGCTTATATTAGTATTTCATGCATGAAAGGCAAACTCATCACAATGAAAACTCAACTTTTTCTTCTTTTTTTAAAGCATTTACCTATGCATGACTAGAATCTAAAGAACTTGAACAACAAAATGTTTGATAAAGATACTCAGGAAAGCTGCAAGACAAATTCGAAAAATTATTACTCAGAAGCAGTAACAATATTAGCAAAGTAATACAACAGTCTTACTTCTGGTGCAGAAAATGTTATTGCTACTAATAACAAGTATACTGAAGTATTCTTTTGGGTCAAAGGCCTTCTGTATCTGAGGTGAGATCGCTTGTAAATTATATTTCTCAAACTGCAAATGCGGCTGGCAATTATAAGACAGCTAGATGCTCCTACAGATATGTAAACGTTTACAAATAATAGCCACATCTTGCACTCAAACTTAATCAATTCTAAAGTGCTGCTATCATTTAGTAAGGGGGTTTTTTTCCACCACACACACATCCCCCATTTTTAATAATTACACATTCTTCTTTAAGCATGAAACTCTACTTAAAACTTCCTGACCTTTTAAGAACCCACCAGAGGCTGTGATTCATAGGAGGGAAACACTGCTCTGCAGCAACCTCTTACAGACCTCCCTTTTACAGCCTCAAACCCTCTTTGTCAGGTTAACTCCCAACAAGTCTTATCAGGCAATCAAAGTCTCTCACTAGCGACTTGCTTAATTACCATCCCTGGAGAGGAGACTTGAAAAACTGATTTATGTGTCACGGTAGCCAATTCGTTATCCAAGAGAGCTCCCATATCACTGGAGGATCATCATAGTTTAATAACCATCCATTAGCAACACAACACGACTGCAAAATGGAATTTCAATTAGAAAAAGAAATAAAAAACAAATAAAATTAAAGAGATAAGCAAGCAGGCAGATCAACACTGATATAAAACGCTGGATATAAAGAGATTCTTTGTCAGCATCAATTGGAACAATTTGTAAAATAGCCATGAGCAAGTTTCCCCCTTAAAGCAGCTTTAAAAGTTTGGGGTATTACAACTATCTGTTCATATAATCCAGGCATTTATGCAACCCAAATATCCAGAATCTGCAAGTGACTGCTTGCACGTTTGTTTCAGACACCTGCACAGCGCTTTCGCAAATTGGAGTTGACTGCTATTGAGAAGCTCTCCAGAGAGCCACTCTCCAGAGAGCCACTCTCCCACTTACTCGTCCAAGTCTGGAAGCGCCAGAAATTGCCTTGGTATTACTCTACGAGACACGGAGCTCTGAGGAGCAACACCATCCACCCGGACTAATATTTTCACTAATCTCCACCTTCAGCTTGGAGAAAGAAGTCAGGCAGCTCCTGGATTGTCTCAAGGTCGAGACTTTCTCCTCTCTCAGAAGTAAAACAAGAAAGCAATTTGCACTTCGAATGGTAACAGGCACCAAAACAGCCCAAGAAGCACCAAGGAGGCCACAAAAACGTTAACGTTCGCCCATATCATTTGCTTTTACTGAAGAGAACTGAGCTGTCAATGCAAAACATCGAGTCTAACAGCCAAGATTTTTAAATGCTGCCATATCCCTCTGGGCTGACAATAGCACAAGAAGAATAAGGATTATTCAGTAACTGATTAAGTTGACAACACGAAAATAGATGACTGTTTTTAAGAAAGCAAAGCTGAAGCAGTTTGTTCAAAACTAACTTCAGCTGTCCTCTTCTCCCAAACATAACTGAGTGAGCTTTCAATGTGGAAGAATAAGCAGAAAGTGTGAAAGAAAAAAGAAAAAACCCTCTTTATTAAAATAAAAGTGATCTTAATAAAATTAAATGGTTATGAGAATATTAATCCTAATCAAATAGGTTCAAGTTTTGATGGTACAGGGGAAAGGGTTAAAAAAAGACAGAACACAACAGAAAAAAATATAGCAAAATATAGCTATGGAGAGAAGGAACTTCACTAGAATTATCGTGGACTAATGCCACAGAAAATACAAGAAACTGATACATAGCCTGAATTTCTACCAGAATAAGACACTTAGTTTTGACCAGCGGGTATTAATATTTTGCTTGATTTATCAGTAACTATATTAAATACAGTAAGATTATTATTGCTTAAAAATGAGGTATTTTTAATGCTTTCTTCCAAGATGACATGTATTTATAATTAACTTTTCCAAGCTTTACCATTTCATTTCTAAAACACTGATTCCTATATAAACCTCTGTTGACTAAATTCAGAGAGGCAGACTACATTGCTAAGGAGTTTTCAATTCTGGTCAATAAATAAGTAATGTACTGTGTTCATTTTACCCCAAGATTCCAACTATTGAGACGTGCTTCGAGGTCACTGTCATCCAAAGAAACGTTTTTTTTATGATGGTGGTCCTGGAACATAAAAAAGTCAAACAAAACATCAGAAAAGCTGGCAGATATATAGTCTAAACAAAAAAAAAAAGGAAAAAAAAGCTTCCCATTTCTCTTGGCCATGCCTACACTGCACTTCCTAATAGTATCACGATACCTCTGACAGCTTTAATAGCTTAAATAGCTCAGCTACCAGTAGGATACTGTGCTAAGAAAGGAATTCAGAGGATGAATAAGCCTGCCTCCTCACTTTAATGTTCTTTATTTCACTTATTTCCAAAGCAAGAGTCTGCTTTACAAGGGGTGAGTTTACTAAATAAAAAACAAAATACTCCATTCTTCAGGCAGCATATTTATTCTAGAAATGGGCCATCTCCACAGCACATTTGTGGGGCTAATCCAGAATTCAGAGAACACTTGATCAGCCTCCACACACACACACACACAAAAAAAAAAAAAAAAAAATCCC